CCCCCCCCCCCCCCCGGGTACACCCCTGGATGGCCCTCGCAGCGAATGGCAGGCGACAGACCAGCAAGTGGCCACCCCCTGGCGAGGGGCAGGCGTGCTGGCGGGGGCGGCTAAGACCGGCTTCCCTTTGCGTGTGCAATAGGTCCCTGGCCAGGCGCGAGGTCCGAATGGAGGGGGGGGGAAGGCTTCCCGCGGCCACTGGCGCCAGGGGATGCGGAGCGTGATCATGCTGTCCGCTCCTCGGGCACCGGGGGGGGGGGGGGGCGGGGCGGGGCGGGGGACCGGGAGGGCTGCAGTCATTCTCGAGAAATAACTCAATCGGGTGGCCGAGGGGGCTGCCGGGATATTAGGGTGTGAACGCCGCGCTCCGACGGGCCCGACCGCCCTGCCGATGGCAAGCGGCCGGGAGTCCTTTCATCCAAGTACTTTTCCTCTCAAACACGCACGCCTGCCCAACCTCCACAGATGCAGGCTCCGGCATACCGGGGGGCGGACTTTCTCGGTGCCCTTGCTTCTCTCTCTCTCTCTCTCTCTCTCTTCAAGGCATGCGCTCCGGGCGTCTGCGCTTTCTTGGCCTGGTGAAGGGCAGGCCGCCCGGTCTCCTGCGCCCCGGCATCCAAGGCGGCGAACACAAGGCCCATTTCATCCTTGCTGTGGCCATGAATGGTCATTTACGTTTGGTTTATTTAAGGGGCGCGCTGGTTACAAGGATGGAACACCTACCCCACGCCCCTTCCCCGACAAGAGCCCTTGCCGGGTGCTGGCACGGCAGCCGGCGAGGCCGCGGTCGTCGGACTGGACAACAGTGTGCGCAGGGGCGATCTGTTCCGGGGGGAGGAGGAGCGGCGGGGCGGGGGACGAGAGAGCGAAACGCTGGTTCTGGCGCCGGTCCGAACATGCGTCCCTCCCGACTGACCTGGGGGCCAGGCACCCGGGGGCGGGCGAGGGGGGATCTCTCGCCGCGCGTCCTTGGCCACCGGTGTGCCAGGTACGCGCTACTCCCCAACCCCCTGCCTCGCGCGATCGAGCATGTAGCTCTCTCCCCTTTGCAGGCAGGGCAGCTCC